TATTAGTTAGTAGATGTTGGACTACAGCCGCCTTAACTACCTTTTCCATCACTCTGGATACCACTGGAGTTATGTTTATAGGCCGGTAATTTTCAACGTTTGCTTCAGGTCCTGTTTTAATTTTGGGAATGGTATGTGTAGTTTTCCTGGTAATAGGGTAACACGCTGAAGAGAGTGATGTCGCGAATAGTTTGAGAAGCAAAACACACATATCATCACCTCCACGTTTTAGCATGCAAGATGGAATACCATCTGGTCAATCAGTGTAGGAGTGTTTCAATGTACTAATTGCCTTGGAGATATTTTGTACACTGAATTCTACGTTAGTAATTTCACAGGGAGTTACTGGGGTTGGTTCTGAATCATTAAATGGTTTTTCGTTAGTCAGTGAGAAACAAAAGTGTTCACTAAATAATTCTGTGACAAGTTTGGGATCTTCGTATACTTGTTTGCCTTTAATGAATATACTCCCTCTGGATTTAGAGTGTTTAATTTTATTTTGGAGTAGTATGGTGAGTGCAGAGGAGTTATTATTAAGTTCAACTGCACGTTTTTCCTGTGTGATTGCTTTTTGTTTACTTATTGTCCCTGTTCGGACAAGTATTTCTGTCATCGTTACTAAAGAGGGAAAGTCATTTAAGTTGTGGAAGCGAGTACAATGTCTTTGAAGACATCTTCTTGTACTGACCGGTATATAGAGATCTTTGGAGAACGTAGGTTTACAGTATTCTAAAGGTGCGATGTTGTTGATGATGCTTTTGATGTTGTGATAAAATATATTGGTTAGTGTGTCGGTATTGTTTGAGGTAAAGAAAGTTCTCCAATCAGTGTTTCGTAGGTAATTGTGGAAGTTATTCTAATCAACCTTGCGATAGTTTCTACGAAGTGTTACGGTTTTACTTCTATCGGTTGTGGTTTTTACATAGGGCTGCATATGACAATGTTATGATCACTACCTGGGAACGTTTTTCCAATATACAAAGTATTGGGGATGAGGCCACTGGTAAAGACTAAGTCTAAGATGTTATGATGTCTGGTAGGGCTATCAACATACTGAGTCCATTGTCCAAGTTCTATCTTGAAAGTTGAAAGTTTTGTGTTCGAAAAGAGAGCCTCGCGTTTCAACTGTTCCGTTCCAATATCTAAATAGTGACCTACAGTAACCACTATCTAAGCTTCTTTTATAAACTAAACGAGATATCTACCGGCTCGGAAATCCACAAATTAAAGAGAACAGCAAATGAACTCAACAATTTTTGTCATAGTTATTTAAATACTTCTAAAAAACCTACGGAAATTTCGGACAGGAAAGTATCACATGCATAAAGTTTTTTGAGGACGAATGAGCAAAGTGTACGCTTAAACAATGATCTGGAAACATAAGACTTTCAGTAAGATATTCTGATTCCTCGGCTAACGAAGTTAACATTCCCATCCCCCCATATGGCGTCTATCACTCTGGAAGTATTTTGTGCCAACAGTCGTCGGTTTCTAACCGGGTTCTACATTGCAGCTGATCATTCCACTTGTGGACTGTCTTGATCATGAGAAAACGTGGTCTGGCCTATTCTATATAAGTTTGGTTCATCAGTCCTGCGTTCAAACCGAATACTGGCAATTCGGTCCTTACAAGATGTATCAAGTGGCGACGGGGTCAACTTATAAAGATGTCACTTACCTCTGACCATGTTTGAGCTTTGCTGGATCGTAAAGAAAAACGTTACGAGCAGTCCCAGATTTGTATTCTAGAAGCTCTAACCCAGCAAATGAACCTGAACCAAATTGGGCTTACAGATGATCTGTTCAAATCCCATGTTGACCACATTGATAATTCTATCGCTGAATTTCATTTTGATAGTTTGACTGTTGTTACATTTGAATAGTAGTTCAAGAAATGAAATGTATTTAAATCTGATGATGCCTCAAAGTTCTGACTACTGCTACGCACACTTGACGCAGCCGGAGATAAACGCCAGACCAACTTCTCCCCAAGAGTCCAAGAGACGTTTGTTTTTGGTGCAACAGACGAAATTTCGTAGCGAATCCTTGTTCAGTATTCTTTACCAATGTATTAAGTTATCGAAACCTGCAGATGATGTGTGGGTGAGCGTGTTAAATTATCAGCGATGACAGAAGACTAGTTCAAGTGTCTTGTTTTTGTACGCAGCTCGCAGTCACCTGAAAATGCAAATATCAGAACTAGAATTTTGAGTAAAATTAAATAATGTCCAAATATAACACTACAAGAAGTGACTAGTGAATGTCAGAGGTTATTGAACTTAAAGCATGACGCTTATATGGCTTAAAATAGTGGCCGGCCACCATAAGTTCAGGTTATAAATAGCCATAGAATTAGATTAATCATAGAGATGTTTGAACAATGAGGAGAGAAAGCTTAGAACAAGCAAAGAAAAACAATTTTCTGAGTGCTTCAAATCACAGAAAGTTTTAGCATGAATATGTTTTGCCTGATACTCGTTCGTGTCGCATAAAGTATATGATAATCGATGCAAGACATTAGTGTCTTAACGAAAATGAATTGTAGGTTGTTGGTATTACGTTCAAGGTTTCACTCTTTTCCGTTACTGAAACATACCTGTAGCCTAGAATACTAAATAATAATAGGACCAAACTTTAATCTAGTAACCGAAGTTTATTTGTAAATTACAAGTAGTCGGCCCAAATACCGTTACATTAATGTTCATGAAAATTAAAAACCAAACCTATAACTTTTTAGGTTCCCAGAGCAAAAACTTCGAAATGCCATATCAATGATAAATTGAAGGCAACATTTCCGGAGTTAGAGATATGACCAAACGAGTTCAAAGGTTCAATAAAACAAATACATCCAAAAACACGACGAAATCAATACAACAGTCTTTAGTCATTCAAACGTTTTCAGTTCTCCCGTAACAATTGGATCAATAGTAATAGTTGAACCCCTAGCAAACAAGAGAGTTGAATACTGCACACATAGTTCCCTTTGTCGCTTTGAAAAAAACAACTTATTTTTAGACATCTTCTTTTCTCATTTATTGGATGCTAATATCTTAACTGGTAAGTCGGATTTTCAAATTGAGCGTCTGTATCAGTCCTCTTAGTGATAAGACTTCTTTTTCAGTATTATTAAGCTTCATATTTGATAAGTTATAGATAAACTCCGAAGGATCTCACGAAAACCCCGAATGTAGTTGTTCTCTCATCCGACTTCTTGATAGGGATTTGTGGAAAACCTTTTAAACTATGATTTGAAGATCGTGAATAAAGTTATTGAATTTCATTCCACAATGGCATCAATCATCAATCGTGTTATTTTGAGTTATTTCGTTGATCCAGTGTGAGATTTGGTGATACGCCGGAGGTTTCCAAGAGATGGTGGAAGTTTACATTAACTCAAAGGTCTAACGAATTGACTAAGAAATCAGTCTGATGTAAGACATTCTCCATAAAACTTGACTTTTATCAGTTCTCTTGATATTCTGCAGCGTACTGTCACTAGGTGATTCAGTGATTCGAATAATTGTGCAAGGAGGCATTTTTCGAGGGCACGCTGAAAAAATTGCTGCTAAACTACTACCAAAACCTGGGTATAAATCATCTAAGCTTATTTAATACCGATTGTGCCAGACTTGTACGACATGAAGTTAGAAAGTACTCCAAAAGGACAGTGCGCTCTGAAGACATATACATAATATCAAAGACATATATGGAATGTGGATTCATCATGTACCATCCCTAATACCTCCAGAATTTATTTGTGACCGTTATCAAAAAGCACTTGAAAGTCTCTCCGAGTTCTTCATTTGACTTACTTGGCTGTGAACTTTGTAAGAATACAGACTTTTCCTTAATCTGATAAAGACGTCGCCACTAAAAGTTGACTGATAACTGCATCTGAATTAGTTAAATTACTCGCTTTAAAGTAATCAAAAATATTAAAATGTTTTGAAGTTTTTGTTTACATCTCTGATCACGCCTAAGAACTTAGGCTGTCCAAAGCGAAGGTAAACAAGGACAACTTCTTAACCTATAGGTAACAAGGTCTTGTGCCGAGACTAAAGTTAATCGTAGTAATAACACCAGACTAAATAATGGATACTCAAAAAAGAACTTTAAAATTATTGGATTAAGTACTTATGATGATCAAACTTTAGACTTACAGCAAAGTCAATTCACTGTATTTCCACTATGATGGAAAGCTAAGAATGAATATGTAGAGGAGAATGGTTTTTTAAACCTGTCATAAATAGACGTATTATAGCTAGCTCAGATATCAGTAATTTCAAAAAAGAATACACGGGATATTGAAGAACGAGCAAGTAACAGTCATGGCTCACAGAAATGACAGTGACGGCGTACATTTCGCTATTCACCCATATATACAAGTGAACATAGATGCAAGAAATTCAGAAACACTTGAGACATATGTGTTGAGAGTAGGCATATGCCTGTGCATTTGTGATGGGTCTGTTTTCAGTGTCAATATATGCACATTGCCAACATTTTCCCATTCGCATGGTGGATGAATGCTGCATTTTAGGACATAGTTTTCACTAATGATTTCATTTTAAGCTTCAACTTTCATCACAATTGCTCTTTTATTATGGAAGTTGGAATACGCTTTAGCGTCTCTTTCAGAGAAATCATGTAGATTTGGATGGTCGAAATGAAATCCCCAGTGATCGTCATGCTCACATGCAGCACCCACCAATTAAACAAAGTGGAAACTACTCGAAAACGCTAGATCTTGTATTTCTATCGTTGGTTGAGAAACGGTTGGTTAACCTAAAGCATATATGTAGACAATGGATATTTTGATTGCACACATAGAAGAACTAAGGAAGTGTATCAATATAGTCGAAAAAACTAAATCAATTTGAGCCTAAATACAGTAGACCATTATGGAATCATTCACTCTCTAAACTTGAGTACGAAATTTTAAATTGGTTATTTTACGATATTAAAATAGACATTTTTGTGTCCGGTGACTTTTCAAATTTGGAATTTCGAGGTTATGGGTTTGTGTGAGTCTGGTGAAATTTAAGATAAACCAGTCCTTTTATGAGTTTCAGAACTGTTTGTTCTCTTTAAAATGTTTAGTGTTGTCCAGAGAAACGTCTTTTATCTTTAGTCACTATTATTAGATGAAGTTAAATAGAATATTCAAATATATTTTGTTATAGCAATGTTACATCAATCAGTAATCTTAACAAAACATAAACCTAGATAATTACTTTTTTCAGCCGTCTGTTTTGTAGCTCTTGAACATTCAGCTGGTGATAGCTTGCATCTTTATGTATGTTTTTATTCCGTCTTTACACTTTTATGCGGTTGGTCAAATTAATCTACCAATTTTCAACTACAACGAACTACCTAATCGCAAACGGTAGCCTTGGGTTCGGTCTGACCCATACTCGGTGTAAAGTAAATGTTTTGAATATTTATGGGTCATGCTTTCACAACTGTCACATATGACTGTTCATATTCTGAAATTTTCTTACATATTCCTGTGTCAGTGAGTCATTTCAGTTGAAGCTGTGATCATTTGTTATCGTTCCTTGTGATTAAAGGTTCAGTATTACGTGAAAGTTATTTTTCTTGCTTTAATCTAGCATGAAAATTCACAGGACAAAATCTCAAATTTGTACAAGAAGGTTGAGTGGTAGGTTTTTGAAGAGCTAGTAGCTGGTTGGGAGTAGTAAGGAATAAGTCAAATCACAACTCCTTAATCTAATAAAGTTCCAGTAATTTGGCTCACAAAGAGTCGTGAAACTCACTGATTAACAACTTACCACTCGTTTATTAAAAAGTTTTGGTCTTCTGTGGCGATTTGGTTGTTTCACTAAAAAAGTCCATTTTTCAGTGATATTTCCCGTTACAGAATTGTTATTTGTGAGCCAGATTTCAGTTATTCGTTAGTGCAACTGTGCTATGTTGTCTATACCCTTAGACCACTTATGAAGATAGTCTGAAACCAGGTTGCCTGTAAATTAAAAAGTCTAATTAACTACTATGAATTCGGTGTTCATCTTGTGTCAATGAGGTGTGACAACTTGAACCAATGCATATATGTGCCTAGTCCTGAGTTGCTAACTGAATGACTGGGGTTTTCGATTCCGATTGCCTAATGTTTCAGTAGAGAAATGCAGCAATACTAACTGGCAGTTTGCTCTTCTTGAACAAAACTCCACACCACTCTACCATTCAAATGATAATTCTACTGCTTATGTGTTGCTTAAAGACACTTTTACCTTGAGTTTACCAATTGCAGTGCAAGTGGTTACGTCTATCTCAACATTTATTTATGATTTTTTTAGTAAGCCATAAGTGCTGTTTTGTGCAAAAGATTATACAAAGAGTCAAGAGCATGGAATTTTAGTAGTGATTGTCGGAAATGTTTTACCTGGAATCATGCTTTTCAAGTCCAGGATTTGAATGGTTTGGAACCGCCCGGTAACATCTTGTTAACCTACGGAGATAATCCAAGTTGTAAATAATGAAACATAATTGTTTAGAGCTGTTGGGACCACTTTAATTGGGAAAAGATTGTTTGCTTCCCACTTCACTTTTGGGTTTGTTTCATATTGGGCATTGTGAAATATATATTGAGGTGTAATAAACAAAAGTTATTTTGCTGTATTACTGGTTAATTATGAAACGATCCTCAAAAATACTATCATCATTAATTGCATTCAGATCTAATAAGTATGTCAGTTTTGTGGAAATTAACTTGTGAGTAAAATGATTCACAGCAAATGTATTTTTATTACTGATGTCTTGCTAAATGAAGACTCAATTCGATTTCCTAGCCACTTTTAACAACCTTCTTAAGATGTAAATACGTGTCACAAACGAATGGAAAAAAACTAATTCCACTTCATTTTCATTTCAACTGATTAGATTATTACTCGTCATATCAACTACTTTGTTATTCGGATGTACACGGCGTTGATACGTTTATTTGGGGGTTTTGGACTTTCATATCACTGATTTTTTTCTTCGTGCTGATGCGGATTTGTCAACGCTCTTTTGTACTAGGATTCAAATTTCTTAGGCATGAATGATTTACTTATCATAATCTCTCATATTTAATAACACTGAATTGCTTTTTAAAGTATTCCTAGTCTTTCCAACTATCAAGAAATGTTGTGAACGATGTAGGTGAATTGAAGTAGTTTCTTTGATCTTTCAGTGTAAAGCTTTGGTAACTGGATAACTGTCTAGATGGGAGTAAATTACTAATCAATATGACATATAATCACTCAGTATAATACACACATGAAGCACCAAATAGGATAGCGAGCCACCGGTATTTTCTCATTTGTTGTTAAATTTTGGCGATAAAATTGTATTTTACTTTTTATGTGGGTGATATGAAAGATGTTATATACAATGCGATCACCATCTATTGTTTTTATGGTTACCTATTAGGATGCCATGGTAATCTTTGGTTGTTCACAGCTCCTCACAATGATTTTGAAAAATCCATTTACTGATATTAACTTACCGTATTTATGTCGTCTTTGTGAGTCATTAGTCAGTTAGAGACATTTTTCTTATGATGAGGTTATATGTACTGATTTGTTTCATTTAAAATTATATACCTAGAATAATAAAATAAAGACGAAACACTTACTACGAAACCTTTGTTTTCTGTGTTTATGTTTATTCAGAACCAAAGGTGAAAGTCGCTGAGATATTTTAAACTAGATTATAGGGATTTATTTGATCATCATTCTTTTTAGTTTCAGTTCGTAACAAAAGTATTAACTTTGGAAAAGACTCGACAGGTTATTAAACTGAAGAAGTGTTGTATGAAATCTGGGTTTTGAAAACAGATATTTGAAACAAAACTGTTGGCATAAGAAAACTGTTAGTATATCTTCTGCCTTCTTTATTTATCAGTTTTTGGTGTTCAATCAATGACTTGGATGCATTTGGTTTTTGAAATTATAGGCAAATTGTCAACTCGAAAGTACATAGCTGTTTTTTGCTATCAAGACTTAATATACTTTATTCTCTCTCAAAACAACTCCGTTAACAAAATTTGTCTTGGAAGCCCGTCGCTGAAAGTCTCCGTCGTTAGCGACAGTAATCATCAGTCTTATATTGTTATTCTTTTTCAAAATTTAATTTGACTGTTTTTCGACCTCTTTGAATTTAATTATTTACTGAGTTTTTATTTTTCTTGTAGGTCGAAAGCTTGACGGTCTTTGTCAACCGAAAGCCAGGAGATGGGTTGGAATTACTGTTGGTATACTGGAACTATTTTTCTTTGGAGGATATTACTACGGTTTCAATTCCCTTATACCAGCTTGGAAATCATTAGGGGTGTCTGCATATAATTGTAGTAATGCAACGAACACCTGTTTATATAATGACTCTATATTTGGAAATGGTTTTATTGTTTGGGTTGTCACGCAAAATTGTCTTATTTCATTCTCTGGTATATTCATGGATAAAGTTGGATTAAGGGCTTTAAAGTTGGTAGCTATAACTATGTATTTTGTTGGAACACTATTTTTTGCCTTTATGCATAGGGAAACAGAACCATTGTATTATATTGCCGGTATATTGGTCGCTATAGGGAGTACTTCAAATCTTATATGCAATCAACATATCACTTCGATGTTTCCAAAATATCGAGGATTCGGAATATCTCTTCTCTCTGGTGCTTTCGACTCTAGCACACTAATAGCATTTATACTTTCTGAAACATATTCACAGTTTTCATTACAGAAATCATTCATTATCCTAGCGATTGTTTCTATATGTGTTGGTCTATTCATGGCTACATTTATTTTAACCACAAGATCAGATGACATGAGAAAATTTGCAAGCAACTTTAGCGATGCTGTAACAAGTGAGAATGATGGTGAACAGGAGAAACTGTCTCAAGAATGCGTCAGGAATAATAATGAAAGCACGGTAATACGTTTTAGACAATATGATAACTTTGATAATTAAATCAACTTGTAGTTTTTACTTTCCAATGTTTGGATGGTAGGAACTAGGAAGGATATTTATTACCTTGTAAATTCCAATTTACAATAGGAATGTGTTTTGAAGTTGGTCGAAATAAGATTATTCACATAACTGTTGGTAATCATTCAGCTAGATTGAAAGGAACATAAATGGATCATCGTTTGTAGACTGGGTGGTTTGGATTTTTGTTACTCTACACTACACGTACTTACATCTGTTGTCCCTCGTAGGGAGCATAAGCCGCTCACCAGTACTCCCCACCGAACTGTGTCCTGGTCAGTCCTTTTCAGTTCATCCTAGGTGCTTTTCAGGTCTGCTTCCACTTCTCGACATAGTATAATCTTTGGCCTTCCTCTTTTCCGTCTCATCCCAGGATTCCGATTTCCAGCTTACCTCGTGATGCAGTTTGTTGACTTCCACAATGTTTATCCTATCCACCTCCAGCGTATTTTCCTAATTTCCTCTTCACCTGGGATTTGGTTTGTTCTCTCTCGCAGTAGGTTGTTGCTGATAGTGCCTGGCCAAAAAATTGGAATATCTTACGTAGACAATTGTGTATAAATACTTGTACTTTTTTACGATAGTTTTAGTGGTTCTCCACATTTCAGTTCCGTACAATAGAACTGTGTTGACATTCGTATTGAAGATTCTGACTTTGATGTTGACTGGCAGTTGTTTTGAGTTCCATATGTTCTTTAACTGTATGGATGCTGCCCCTGCTTTGCCAATCCTCACATTTACGCCAACATCTGATCCGCCTTGTTCATCGATGATGCTTCCCGAGTACGTAAAGGATTCCACATCTCCCAGAGCTTCTCCATCAAGTGTGATTGGGTTTATGTTCTCCGTGCTTTATTTGAGGATCTTGCTTTTTCCTTTGTGTATGTCGAGACCTACTGATGCAGAAGTTGCTGCTACACTAGTTGTCTTCATCTGCATTTGTTCGTGTGTATGTGATAGGAGGTCTAGGTCATCCTGCGAAGTCCAAATCGTCTAATTGTTTCTGAGCTGTCCATTGTATTCCGTGTTTTCCCTCAGATGTCGAGGTCTTCATAATCTAGTCAACCACCAGAAGAAAGAGGAAGGAGGAGAATAAACAGCCTTGTCTGACTCGGGCCCTTAATTGGAATGCATCTGTCAGCTGTCCTCCATGCACGACTTTGCACTGTAGTCCGTCGTATGAGTTCCGTATGATGTTGACGATCTTTTCAGATACTCACACCATAGTGTCGAAGAAGTTTCCATAAAATCCTCCTATCCACACTGTCAAATGCCTTCTCATAGTCCATGAAGTTGATGTATAGTGATGAGTTCCACTCGTCAGAGTTATCTTGAATTCGTTAAGTTTGTCAGTATTTCGAAGGAACACTGTATTGAACCTTCGTAATGCTGTTTGTCCAGCTGTCCAGCATTTCTTTTAGCTTCAGTTTCATTTTGGCTACAATCAAGTGGTGATCTCCTGGTTCTTACGTCTTTTATTGTCCTTCTGAACTTTTTATTGAGGCAAATATGATCTATCTGGTTCTTCGTGGTGTGATCCGGTGAGACCCATGTAGCTTTGTGTGGGAATATTGTGTCACCTATGACCAAGTTGTTGAATGTGCATAGATTTGAAAATCTCTCACCATTTTCGTTTCTCCCAGTCAGTCCATGTCGTCCCATGATATCTTCATATCCGGTGTTGTCCATTCCGACTTTGGCATTTAGGTCTCACATTAAGATGGCGAGATCTTTTCTTGGGCACTTCACTATGATTGATTGCAGCCTCTCATAAAACTGATCGTTGTCGTTGCTATCATTTGTAGGTGCACAACATTTCTTGTGATTCCCTCCATTGTTTTGATGGGTGCTATGGCGATTCTGGATCCATTAGATTCCTATCGTATAAATGCATTTCGTGCTTCTTTGAGCAGCATCAGAGTAACTCCTTGTATGTGCAAAGCATTTTCCTTCTCGTGACTGGAGTACAACAGTATCTCTCCTATACCTAGCCTTTGCTGTTTAACTTGGGTCCAATGACTTTCACTGATTCTGATTACTACCAAGTTTTATCTCCTGATTTCCTCTGCTATTTGATTGGTCCTCCTGGTCTCCCATATTGTCCCAACGTTCCATGTATCTATAAATAATGTTAGTCTAGTTGTTGGAAGGGGTATCGGCCTCGTGACGTCCGAAGAATCACAACTTTCATCCTGAGGCGTAATAGCTCTTTCTTGAACTCAGGGGACATAGTGTAAACGGTTCGATTTGTTTAATCTGGTGTGCGTCTTTGCTGGCAAGAGTTTTTTCTATGGGACGAGGTCGTCAACCCCATGCCCAACTCTCCTTCTTTACCCGGGATTGAAACCGGCAGTAACTCTAGAGGAGCTACAGACGGAGTTCTACACCACACACTTGATTATATATATTCTTTATTAGCATTCATAAGTGAGTTTCAGATGTCTTTAGATTCTAAATACATTCTATGTATGGGCGACAAAAAACGTCCTGGTGACAATCGATTATCTAATACTGTCAAAAATATCATACCATGTGGTTTAATCATAGAAAGTACCTTAGTATTAGTATGTGGGGTTGATGATTGAAGTTGACAAGAAATTTTAATACCAGTACAGGCGAATGATCCTAATGCTGTCAAACAATCTCTCTAGTGACTTAGATGTAAAACCTATTTCCGGTTTGAATAAGAATTGCTGGATGGTAGATGTATTACTTGTCGTTTCTCCTCTAGCTGAGATCCTCTTAAATTAGATATACATTTTTTCATCATATTATCTCCACATACAAATGGTGCTTTGATAATATATCTGTTGAACATTATATTATTAAATACACTTTGGGAATAAAATATATTTCATTTGAAAGTTACGGCAATACTACAATTTATGGACGAACCAATCAGATATAAGATATCAGGTCTTGGATTTTAGCGCAAAATTCACTCATCTATTTGGCTAAATAGCGTTTTGGCATTTTTGATTATATCAATTCGTGATTAAAGCCCTAAACCTAATTTCTAACTGTAACCATTAACTGTAAATCCTAATTCTACTTCCTCACACTAGTTTATAACTTATTTAGTCCTAGTTAGTAGATGGACGTTCTCAAAGGTCGTCCATAAATTATGGACCCACCGAAGTTGCTTATAAGGTTATCTTATGAAATGATGTGAGCTACCATTTGGGGTAACATGAGTTTTAGCGTGATAAAAACTAACAACATGAACACTGGTACTTTTCAGTATCGGTTTATTGTAGAGAAAAATAATTGTAATAACAGTGATTGATCAATGGATTTGTAATTATTTATTGATTTCTATTGATGTAGGACTAATAATCCAATTCTTATCATATTTTTCTAAGGAAAATATTACCAACAAACCAGATGTTTACTATGTTTGCTCTGACTTTAACTGTGACTAAATGTTTCGATTGAATCTTGAAAAACAGCAGATAAATTTTCAGTAGATGAGTTCATCAATACTGGTCAAAAGTTAAATTTCTAAAATCTCCTTCCTATAAATGTTGTCAAATGATCTCATTGAATAATATTCATTGATAATATTACCTGACAAAGTGACGTGATGATTGCTTGGATTGAACTATAAGATGAATATTGTTAATCCTATGTTATGCTGATATTGCTATCAATACGACTGTTGCTATTAGTATTAATAATAAGTTTGCGCTTGAGTTTAACACACCAATTGAAATATAAACTTCACAAATAAGAAACATGAAACTCCTCATTACAATATAAAACTATCGATTAAAAAGTAATTGCTCATCACATTTTTGTTTTTAAATGACCATTATCTTTCATGTTTGACTATTTTCATTTTCAGCCATCATTGGATAAAGAGGCAAAAAATAGTGAAGTATCTAGAAAAATCAAAATGATAATAGACCTCCGTTATCAATCAATAAAAGATTGTATAATATCGCTACCATTCTTGCTTATTACAATATGGTTTATGCTTGGATTATTTCGTTTTTCAACATTTCTTGGACAATTACAACGTATCATAAACGAATTGTTTCCAAACGACATAATGACCATTGATCATCTATTGCAAATTTCATCAGCATTTTCAATGTGTGGATTTTTAGCCGCTCCAATTACTGGTTTCACAATGGATATATCGCAAGCCTATTGTAGGCGAAAAATTATGCGAAATGATTATAATATAAATGAACAGCATCATAGAAATCAAATTTATTATACATATATATTCGGTTTAGCGCCTGCACTACTTTTTATGGCATTTTGTGCTATGATCATAAGCTGTTTAATATTTATACCGAATCGTGTGGCTTATTATTTTGCATTTCTGTTTTTTGTTATGCTACGTTCATTGTTATTTAGTGCATCTGTAGGCTTTTGCTTGACTGCTTTTCCTGTACATTACTTCGGAACAGTATGTGGTATATTAAATTCAATCGGTGGTATATTCAGTCTATTACAATATGCATTTCAGTATACAAGTAGCGCAGAAATAGCTAATATTATCATAACTATTTGTTCTGTTGGCTTATTTATACCACCTGTTATTCTGTTTAAAATGAAAAGTCGGTAAATTTAGGAGGAAACCTCGAATAACAAACATTATTATTCAGTATATGTATGCTCTACTTTTTTTAAATTGATAATCCTCAACACAATGTATTCTCTTGATTTGTAGTTACTTGTTGTATCTGTATTTAAAGTGTCTCAAGCAATAAAAAACAATGAGTTTAAAGAGTCCTTATGTAATTGCATCAAATTATGTATACCTTTAATACTACACTGGCTTTGATACTCTTTTTGGTGCTTATCTCTTTTTTTATCAATAGTGGAATTCCAATTTTCACTTCCAGAACTTTTTTTTAAAAAAAAATAAACAGGATAGATTTTTTTTATTCAAAAATTATTTATGCTCAATAGAATGGTATAATTTACAGTAATTATATATATAAACATCATTTCACTCAGAATGATGTTTCATTAAATATAGACAGAATAAATGTACTGGAATGTCCATTATACGTTAGAGTAATTTGCTAGATGTATTTACATTCTAGTGTTTATGCTTCCACTGAGAATCAAATGCATCGATTGCCTTGATGTAAATGCTGTAGAGGTGCCCAGTGAGATCGTTCTATTTGTTAATAAAAATTGTAATTTTACAGTAGAGACAGTTGGATTTTGGGTTGAAAAATTAGCGAGTACTTCATCATTTACCTAAAACACACTTATTCTGATCATAACTAACAGATATAATTAATTATACATTTTTAATTTCATTTTAGCCACAAGAGGAGATTACGATAATGACGATAATTCTTAATGCTTTTGAACATTGGTGTGAGCCATTTAAATTAAGTTTCCTCAATAATTTCCTTATGTCAATAATAGTTAACCAGTAGAAATGACAGTGACAATCATAAACCAATCTTTTGAAGCTTATCGAACTCTTATGGAAGTTTTTCCTAAAGTTTCAAATACTGTTATTTTCAGTCCTGAGACAACTATGTCCTAATAATTCTCAGAAATGTATGTTATAGGAATTTAAAGTGAAGGTGAGTTATTCTGGACACGTCTTCAGACTTTAAAATTGATGCTATTGATAACTATTATTCATTTACTCTTCAAATGTCTCATGCATATGAGCCTTACATGTATGAATAAAGAGAACAGTGGTTTATTTGTCAATAAATTCTATCTACTAAGATGGCCTATTGAGTGATGGATAAGCTAATGTTGAATGGGTTAGGAAGTATCTGTGTAGAGTTGTATATTTGGTGATGAGTGTGGATGGAAAAATTAAAGGATGAGTCAGATTGAGTGCAATAAATGCAAAGTACAATGATAAGGTTGTTGTTGAATAAATATTTGTGAGCTACTTTTGACCAGTAGATAGCTAATGAAGGTGCATATCCGTTCTACAAAGAAAATAATCATAACTTAAGTAGTTTTAGTGCTTTTGAACACTGGTGTGAGCCATTTAAATCAAGTTTTACATTAGAGATTACAAGTACAAATTCCAATTTTGAGTTCTATGTGATGAACGAGTAAACATGATACACCGCAGGATCACTATCATGCTTGTCTAGCACTCAATGTTAATATAATCCTATCATTTACGTTTCAATACAGTCAGTAGTCGAGGTGGATCAAAATTAAGTGCAATTTTATGATTGGTAAGAGGTAATCGACTGGGAGCCCTAGATCTAAGTTTGATTGAGTTGTCTAAACCTTGAACTGAGTAGATTGTGTTCGGTGAACACTAAGGTTCAGACATTTATAACATTGATTAGTACTCAGGGATTAATTATTGTAAAAGTCTAAGTTCAAAAGTAGAGCAGTCACTATCCACGTCTGTCAGTCCTAACATCTCTTATACGTATACTAGATGATTTAAGTTCCACTATTAAAAGGAATGTTAGTTTACTAAAGATTGCAGGTATGCTTTATTGATGAATATAAACTAGGACTAAACATAGGTCCAGGGCTTTTCAGCTAGTATTTAAACCATATAACGTGGAGTTAACAAATTGCATAAAGTTACAACAGACAAGAAAAATTTATGTTGGTAAGTAATATATATATATATATATATATATATATATATATATATATATGTATATATATATAATTATTTCTTTTCTTTACTCGCTTTTTAGTGAATATTGGAGTGGGAATTTTCCTACTACTGGTTTATTTTTCACTTAAAATATGTAGTAAATAAAAGTTGAAACATTAATTGGTAATTGATAACTCTAGATTAATACAACCAGATGTTTTATGTTTATTACAGTATAGATTATCTCATGTTGATAATCTGCTTATGAGTAGATAAATAAAAATTTTAATTTTCTCATAATTGCTAATATATTTATTCTTCATAAATATTAGTCTCAAAGTTGAAATTTTCTAAAATGATATAAAACAATTAACTTCAAAGAACAATGTGAATGTTATGATATACATTCGATTATTCTATATGTACTTCATAACCGACAATGGTTTTCGGTAAATATTTATTCTATTGATAAGTAAATGTTTCATTACAGTCATACGAAAAATAACAAACTTTTTGAACTATAGTTAGTAACTGGCATAGAAAATCTTTCATCTTGTGTGATTTTAGACTGATAGATGTTATTTTCAGCTTTTGACGTATTCACATTAAATTAGGAGATTTTCATTTTTATCATACAGCTGAATGCCGTGCAGAAAAACATAGTAGTTGTTTAATTTGTTTAAATACTAAAGAATTTTGTTATCAAATTATAAATGTTTATTTATGCCCGAATACTTATATCTGTCATCAATTAATGAAGTTATTTCACCAAGTTTGCATGATTCTATTTTGAAGATAAACCATTTTTCAATTATACAGTTGTCTTCATAAAAAAGCATCTCAAGCAAATTTACAATAGATTAGATTATGTACATAGAGTAGTTAACTTATTAGTGTCTTCGGAAACAACATAGGCTAATTCATAGAAGTACTATTGATGAGCAAAATATAAATGAAAGTTTCCATTACAGATAAATATATATTCCTTAGGAAACTTTGTTCAGTGTTTATATAATGATTATAATACAAGTGACATTATTACACTTAAAGTAAAAATCAGAGAATCGTTTAGTTTCTTGCAATAATCATAGATATAAATCTTAAAGTTATTTCAGTTCTGCATATGATGTTATAGTTAAATGTGCAAGCAATAAATAATGTAACTCATTTTCCTGGTACAGGTTTATGTACTTGAATTCGAGCCACATTTTTGTATGAGATTTCGGGATACTGTCCAGTTGCCCAAACGAAGCAGCGATTCTAGTTTGCAACCTAACAGGTGAATCACAATTGTCTTAACCACCAAGTCAAGAAGTATTTATCAGAGTTAAATCATGTAATTAATGCATAATTTGACAGTACAAATCTATTTTTTAGTTGAACAGCTAATATCAATAAAGAAAAAATTGCGTTTTTATTCAAATCCAAGTACAAATTAATCTCTTTTTCGTTAAATCTCACTTTGAGTGATAAGTAAACTTGTTGTTTCTGAATAATTTTTACAATGTAAAAGAATAATCAAAGTGGTATTAAATTCATTGACTTTAAGTAATATTAGTCTATTATTGTTGACTCATTATTTTTGACTAAAATATTCTTACTCGTGCATTACACAACTTAAGTTTTTCGTTGCGTCAAAAGGACCGGATCTCATCACTGATGTTGAACACTTGCTGGACGGAATAATTCGTTGTTTTAATCGTGAAAATTAAACCAATATTGAGTTTATGATACTAAATGGTTTAAAATAACAACAGAATCGACTATACTACGAAACCACTGAATCCAACTGATTGGCTTATCTCAGTATAATATTTCCAATGTGCTAATTTGAAGAATTAAAATGGGTTTTTTGGTGACTTGATAACACTTCTAATAGCACCGTCACAAATTAATAAAATCAGTTGACTGTATTTCTTGAATACCTAATTAGAAATGTATTTTAAATGTTTTTATTGATATGATACATATGAGTAGCTATACATGATACCATCAAACGACAATTATTCGTTAGTAATCAGTTGCGTTTGTAGTTTTTTTATCAGTTGATTAGTCAATCACTTAGCGAGACTATAATTTGTTGATGAGCCAATCAGAAGCATTTGAGGGATTTCAAGGTAACGGCGCCAATTTCAGTATCTGATGCTCACATACGATCAGTTTACAGCGGAGTTTAGAGAAGATGCGATAATTGAGCGGCTACAACAAATTGGGTTACTGAGAAGTTTCTTTTATTTATGACTGTGGTAATCAAATCACTGCTGTACCGTGTACCATGAGGTTGTCTTTCGACGTAATATATGTTGGAAGAAGTCTGCTATAATAGGAAATTTTTTCGCTCGATCCCGATTAAGACTAAGCCAAATCATGATAACTGTTGCGAATCGGATAATAAAAGCACCAGTCACACTGGCTGGAACCTTTGTAGATGTTACCGAAGCTCCGGGAGTTCATTGGTATGAGCACTGTCGAGATATATTTACAATAAAATGACAAGCTTACATGAGTTGTTTGATGGAGTTGGGAGAGTCGTCGAAATAGACGAAACAGTAGTCAGGAAACGAAAATTTAACAGAGGACCTAGTATCAAAGAAGACTGAGTAAATAGCAGTTCCATAAATATACCTCGCAGGTCCTTGGAATATACGACAGGTCATCCCAAAAGGGACACTTCCAAAGGGTCAGAAACCGACAGGCAACGACAATATCAGTTGTACGGGAATATGTGCAACTAGACACTACAATATATACAGGTGATTGGAGAGTGTGCAGATGCCTCCATGTACTTGGTTATGTGCATCATGTCGTTATCCACCCTACAACAGGAGTGCACACTAACAATTTTGAAGCTAAGTGTTCTAGGCTAAAGGAGTTTTTACGAACTTATCATGGCTCGAGAGGCCGACTATTATGCATGAGCTTCTCTACCATATGCATCACGATTTTAGAACCTCCGAACCTCTTCCTAAACTTGATAAGTTTTTGAACCATGTAGAAGATGTGCATATTTTTATCTATATTAACTGTTTGCTGATTGGCTAGTATTTTTCAAGTTCACTTAAGCTTCGTTCAGAGGTCGTCCATAAATCATAGTCTTGACAATCACTTTGCTACAAGTGTGTAATACCTAAGAATTACATCAGTTTTAATGAACTCTCATTATTATAATTACTCTTCAACTGATGTCACAAGGATTTCATTAGTCACACTCTCTATTCTGATAAATAATTCGACGAATAAAGTAAATACTGATAATATCACCACGTAACATTAGGTAGAATATTATACAAAGGAGTTCGTACGTGGAGAAATATTTCACAGATGAACACTAGTAATGCAACAATACTTAAATGGATCTATTATTTATGAAGAATAAATCAAAGTAGTATTCATTTGTTAAGAGCTACTTTGATTTGTTGGACGAAAACTGAATACCAGTGCTAGTGGTATCTTAACGTTTTCGAGTTTATGATCACCTTATAGTCAGTGTTTATGATTACGATGGATTTCGATTTCATTTCTGTCAATCCGCCGATTCCGTAGTTGGCAATTAGTATGAACCATACAACTTGAATATTATTTGGTTTTTGTTCAGGTAGTTCCAATTTATGTAATTTTGAAATTGTTTCAATGATATTTGGTAAGAATTTTATCCGTTTAGAAATGTGAATTCGTCCTAAAATTTCGTTCCTTATAAGTTAATACTAAATGCTTACAATTAGAAAACACCAGTAATTCTATGTACAACTTCGAATTTCAATAAATAACTTAAATAGTGTGTTAGTAATAAACTGTAATAAACATATAGCCATCTACATAAATGAATTGAAACATCTATCAACCTTTTTGGGGGTACAACCCAACAAAACTATTTTGTTTTCAAAATACACGTTCTGTACTTATTTTACGGAACATCTATCCTTTCTAGTCATTCACTCAGTATATTTTATGCATAATTGATCTGTATTGCTTGAAAAATGGTATTTTATGAACATGACAGTTAAACTATAATAATAATAAAGTTATGTACGCCAAATTGTATCATTTTGAGTTTACATGGTTGAATATTATTTAATCACTAATGAGAAATGTGGGTATGTTATATAATTTCAGAATAATAATATTTGTTCCGAATCAATAAGGCAATTGACAGTTCTAAATATTGTTGATAAAAACATTCCATTGTAATAAATCACATTGTTGATTGGTAATATCAATATTTCGATATTATTCAATCAAAGGACATATTTGTTATATCTGAACGAAAATTCAATGTATAGTAACTGCTAATAGTTATCATATATATTTGACCTATTGGCCACTGCAATACAACTTAACATTCTGAACTTATTCCCAATTTATCAGTCACAGTATCACACACTCACAGCTACTTTTGGCTTGGTTTTTCACAATCATTATTTTTTAGTTTATGATGTGATGCGATCTGGTCTGCCTGTATATAAACCAAGTATGTCTGAAATATACGATTCATACAGTGGAGGATGAGATTGTGTTCTAGACTGAGCGGGTCGAACTAGGCGAGAAGTTGCTGTACGAGGAACCAATGAGGACTCGGAGTTGACTGAAGGCTGCCGGTACTGTTTGACGCATCGTTGATTTGGTACGAGGATAAGATCATAGAAGTTGGTATGCCGATTGGCGTGATATTTGACAGGTCATAGGAGCATAACGTTATTATTTATGCTTGGAAATTAAAATTTAAAAGAAGTAGTGGCCGGTGGAGTTCAACCGTGTTGGGTGTGAGGCAGTTACCCACAGAAGACAATGGAAGATGGTCACGCAATATCGTAGATTAGTTGAAGTTAGACACTGACACCTTTGGATCCTGGCTTAGTGGTCTAGAGGTTAAGCATTTGCGCGAGACTGAAGGTTCTGGGTTCAGTCACCGCTCGTGGGATCGTGGATGCACACCGCTTGGGGGGTCCCATTCTAAGAGGAAACTTCAGTGCTTCCAGATTTTCAATAGTGGTCTGAAATTGGTGGGTTCATTGTTTTAAAAGAACTCATCAACCTCCACAACCCTACAGTGATAAAATTTAAAAGGCAATTAAATGCTGTATAAAATTTATGCTTTGATGAATGTATTCGGTTCACCTAGATCTTTGTTGGAATTTCATCGGAAGTAGAATGCGGCTCACTGGTTTACAATGTTGCTTAAAATAAATGTTTTAGCTTTTAGTGTAATTCGTTACTGATGTTCGATAAATCATAGGTATTTATATTATATTCTGGTTTCTTTAAATGCCCTAAATAATTACCACGTTAATGTTATATAATAACATCGATGTTATTTGTCGTTACAAAACCTTAAATAATTCTTTCTTTTATATTATTATGAAAAATATTCCAGATAAATTGAATATTAGTTTATAAATGAACTGATATTGTCGTGGACGTCATTCACAAGATTATTCGTAAGTGGTGTGTATAGGAACGCGATGTCGAAGTCGCTGAAATTGTTAGACGGAGTGAAGAATTTTAGTGTACGGAAAGCACGGAGTTGAGAGAACACCCAGAGACCAGACGAGAAGACGGTTCAAATTTCAGAACACACTGAAAGATGCAAATGGATGACTAAAAGCTATGTATGATGTATTATATAAATACTTTGTAGCTTCGCGCAGTAAATACACTCTGTTGTCGTGCATTGTGATAATACCAGGGTTACCTGTCGATCTGTCTTTGACGAGAACCAAGATAAAGTTTTTTCTAGTTTACAATAATCAAATTCTTTAAGCAGACAATAGGAACTAGAATGGTTTGGTTTATATAAAATGACTATGACAAACTGGCCCACAAATGAAAGCGTCTTTGATAGCAACGTAACGCTTATTACAGGGTATTCTTTGCTTAAATATATTTTCTTTCGAACACTGTGTCAAATAAACTCTAATTTATTCTCAAGGATGATAGATATCCCC